AAACAAGAAAAGATTCATAATCAAATCATTTACCAATGCCTTTCATCTACCGTAGCTTATGTAATGCGTACTGAAACTAAATAGGAAAGACGGAACATGTGTATATACATATGCGCTCAAAGGCGAACTGAACGAGTCAGGATGGGGTTGATGAAGATCATGTAGAACGATTTCGATGTAAGGTCTAACGACCATCAAACCACAGCCCGTGAATCGCATTCGAACCACCATTCTCATATCCCTACTAAACGCTCCACATTTTTTGTTAACGTGTCGCTGAAGATGAGAGGGGGATAATGATCTATTATTTTATTGGCCAAATAATAGACATAAGAACGATTATGAGAAATGTAAACATAACAAAACTGTGAGCTTGTTCGAGGCACGTAATCAAATCGGCAATACTGCAGCACTGATGAAAATTTGCAATACTGTTGCAACTTCCCTATTGATAAAACGTTGCTAGAAATTCACATCGAACGTGATACTTTAATAATTCGCGCAACACTGCGGTTGTGATTGCATCTCGAACAAGCCCTCTCAAAGCTAAACTTCAAAATGGGGGGAATTGCCAGATGAATGTACGTAACCAATAGTTATTCAAGACACAAACCATCATATCGGTATAGACACGAATTGACATGGCCACTATGAAAACGCCCTCACTGACATACGATAAAAGAATCGGTGGTCACATACCACGAGGCTAGAAAAATATTTTTCCTTTTTGGAATTGGACACGGACCGAACAACACACATCAGCCCTCGCAAGAACGGAAGTAATCCTAACCAAGCAATTTATTAAAGCTGACGACATTGGTTTGGTTAAAGTCAATCCTCAGAGTGCGTTACCTGGGGAATATAATTATCGGCATTGTTCCACCACATTCTTTCCGGCAAATGCCCAACCAAGTTGTTACCTGTGGAAATAAAGAGTCTGTGGATATAAATTCTGGTCTATTCATTTGGCAGCAGTGAGACCACCGTACACCGGTAATCCCAAAATCATCAAACGTAAGTCAACCTCATTATTGTCACCATCTCATTGGAAACGAGCTACCCAACAACAGTTTATCGAGATTCCTGTTTGGACCGACAAGAAAAGGTCAAGCAAATCACTAATTGGACAATGTTTTCGAGAACTACTTAAACACATATACTTATCATTTGAACATTAAATAAATAGTCTGTTTACGAAAGCCAAATCATGTTTTTACATTTGATTTACTGACTTTACACCTTTTTTAACGGTTTCCATCCTTTTACATTAAAATAATGCAATATTTTAGCTGCTATTAATTTCATACAGAAAAAGTAATCATTTGACTTAATGTGCGCTGCCGGGAGGAACGCTCAAATATTTGCGGGCCATATCTGTCAATTTGTCGTATTTTAGTTAAGTGTTCCACCAATCGAGAGAATTTTCGCCGAGATGAGCTCGTTTTTCTTTAAGATAGGTCTTCAATTGAGCTTTAATTTCACATTTTTTAATGTCTCCAGATTCTACATCCGAGCCTTCGCTTTAGCTAAAAATATTTCTAGGTTGCTTATAAGACTTTGAGTAGTACTTGATATACTACTTAACCGTTTAGCGCCTGAAGGTAAAAGCCGGTTATTATCCGCAGCCTGGTTAGATAGACTTAGAGCCATTTCAACAATATTAGAGAGGACTCTCTGCCCATGTACACATTCGCATTCGCGAAAAATTCGTATCATTTGATGCGAATGCAAATGTCGAATGCGAATGTGTAAAATCATTCGCATAACGAATGCGAATGTAAATATTCGCAACATCCATGATCGAGAGAAAATTCCTCAAAATAAAAATCCTCAAAAAATACTCAAGCGAACCCGAAATTCCTCACGTTTTGAGGAATTACTCAAAAAGTGGCAACACTGAATAGGTTAGGTTAGGTTAGGTAAGGTGGCAGCCCCGTGTAACCGGAGCTCACTTAGACAATGTAAGATTGTCCTTTGTGATACCACAATTTGGAAAGGCCCCCTAAACTTTATCGTTAAAACGCTCCGAGCCGATTATGTATTTACTAATACGGCTGATCTCAATGCCCCAGAGCTCCTCGGGGCTGTTTAGAAAGTGAGAGCCAAAGTACTTCAACCTTAGCCTCGCAAACGCTGGGCACCTAAGAAGGTAGTGTTGAGGTGATTCTACCTCATCATCTTCCAGGCGACAGCGACACAAAGGGTCCGGCAGAATGTTCCGCCTTACTGCGTGGATACCGATAGGACAGTGACCCGTTGATACCCCTACCAGAAGTGATAGCTGTGGCTTTGTGAGTGTGAGGAGTGCCCTCTATCGCCCCCGGTCCACCCTCGGCCAAAAGGACCTTGCGATCGCGCGTTCGCTGATTTGACATGAGTCCCATTTATCCAAGAGCGAACCGCAAGCGATCAATGGCACCCCCAGCTGCTCTTTATTCGGTAGTAACGTTTCACGGGTTCCTTCCCTGGCCAGCTCGTCAGCCACGCAGTTCCCCCCAATGTCGCTGTGTCCCGGAACCCAAATAAACCTAATGCGGAAGTACTCCGACGTGGCCGAAAGAGAGAGAAGACATTCCTTAACCAGGTTAGAGCGCACCTCTAACGAACTCAAAGCCCTGATAGCCGCTTGGCTATCAGAATATACGCTCACTTCCCTGACGGTTATAACGCTCCTTAGCAGTGAATCCACCGCCTCCTTGATAGCAGCTACTTCCGCCTGGAATACACTGCAGAAGTCCGGGAGCCTGAACTTAGTGCTGATGGAAAGCTCTCGACAGAAGACCCCTCCACCAACCCTGCCATCCAGTTTCGATCCTTCCGAAAAAGAAGTTCACCGCACCCCTCCTCCAGAAGTCCCGCCCGGCCCACTCATCCCTTGAGGGAAAGTGGACAGAGAAGAAGCTCCTAGGAGCCGCAGGAGGACGCAACACTGAATAGAGTAACAATGAAATAATTTTGAGTAAATTTGTTAATTATTTCTCAGTGTTTTTACCTTTTTTGATTATAAACTCACTATGACCTTTTACTTTAAGGAATATTTCATTTAATATTGTTATTTTAGTATAAAGGTCATCCATTTTAATACACATTTTGCAAATTGTTGAAATATGTATATTTATGTTTATAATTGAAGAAATATAGTATTTTTGCGTACTGTATTTTTTCCAACAGTATATAGTACGCCGACCGGAAAAATAGTACAATACTATATATTATAGTACGGTTGGCAACCCTAGTCGCATTTATCTTGCTTGCTTTTTTGCATAATATGTACACATGGGTTTCGACCAGCGTTGCCAGGTTGACGTTTTTAACGTCATTTGGACGTTTTTTGTAACCTGTAGACGTTTGGACGTTTTTGTGCAAAAAATTACGTTTTTTAAATTCCCAGTAATTTTTACTCTGTTACCAAATCTTGTAAGTACTTAGAACTGATTTTTAATTTTTTTCTTAATAAATCTTTACAAGTTTTGTTTTTTGCAGCAGCTGCTTCAACAGATATTTATTCTTTGGTCACAGATGACTTAACCCTTATTTAGGCGCATAAAGAAAATGACATAATTAGTCGCATGGTTTTTGCCATATGCATTATTTCGGTTTTCAACCGAAACTGTGCATGTATGCATTACTTCGGTTTTCACATATACATTATATCGGTTTTCAACCGATATTGTGCATGCATGCATTATTTCGGTTTTCAAACGAAAGTGCGCATATGGATAACTTCGTTTTTCCGAAGGCCGCCTACGCAAAAAGTTCGGCGCAAAAATACCCCACCCCTCCCTCTTTACGACAACACAGAAAGGAGAATTCTACTTACTAAGGGTTACAATCCCTAACCGCGGCCGCCTACGCATAAAGAAGTTCCGCGCAAAAATACTTCCGCCCCTCTTTTCCGGCAATCCAGAAGGGAGAATTCTACTTAGTAAGGGTTATAATCCCTAAGCGCGGCCGAAGGCCGCCTACGCAGAAAGAAGTTCTGCGCAAAAATGCTTCCGCCCCTTTTTTCCGGCAACGCAGAAAGGAGAGTTCTACTTAGTAAGGGTTATAATCCCTGAGCGCGGCCGAAGGCCGCCTACGCAGAAAGAAGTTCTGCACAAAAATACTTGCGCCCCACTTTTCTGGCACAACAGAAAGGATAATTCTACTTAGTAAGGGTTATAATTCCTAAGCGCGACCGAAGGCCGCCTATGCAGAAAGAAGTTCTGCGCAAAAATGCTTCCGCCCCTTTTTTCCGGCAACACAGATAGGAGAGTTCTACTTAGTAAGGGTTATAATTACTAAGCGCGGCCGAAGGCCGCCTATGCAGAAAGAAGTTCTTTTCTGGTAACATAGAAAGGAGAAAGAAGTTCGTTTTCATGTATGCACCATTTCGGTTTTTGTCATATGCATTATTTCGGTTTTAAGTCGAAACTGTGAATGTATGTATGCATTACTTCGATTTTTATCATATGCATTATTTCGGATTTGAATCGAAACTGTGCATTTATGCATTTCTTCGTTTTTCTTATATGCATTACTTCGTTTTTTCGTCGAAACTGTGCATATGCATAATTTGGGTTTTTCTAATATGCATTATTGCGGTTTTTTTGGCGGCCGCTGTGGTGTAGTGGTAAGCAGTGCGCGCTTTCACTCATCAGCACCTGGGTTAAAGCCCTGGTCAAAGCAACATCGCAAAAAATATGGAAAAAGGTTTTTTCTTAACAGCGGTCGTCCCTCGGCAGGCAATGGCAAACCTCCGAGTGTATTTCTGCCATGAAAAACAGCTTCGCATAAAAATACAATCGCCGTTCGGAGTCGGCGTAAAACTGAAGGTCCCCTCCGCTTTGTGTGACAACATCAAGGCGCACGGCACAAGTCGGAGGAGAAGCTCGGCCAAACACTAACATATGTGTAAGCGCCAATCTATTATTATTATTATATTATTGCGGTTTTCAACCGAAGCTGTGCATATGCATTGTTTCGGTTTTTTTTCATATGCATTATTTCGGTTTTTTTATATGCATTATTTCGTATTATTTCAGGGTGCCCTCTTATTTCTTTACTTATTAATCTGAAAAATTTAGGTCCGGGTAATTTTTGGAATAAATTTTCCTTTACGAGGGAAGAATTTGTAATTTTCACATGTTTATTGCTACACTTATCTGTCGCGATCTTTACTATGACACAAAAAGGGATGCTTCCGTGATACATTACTTTGATGAAAATAGTATCTAACATTAACGAGGGCTGACTAACTTAACTTACTTCAAAGTTTCCAATTTAAATCACAAATTTTTATATACATATATATTTTTTTGTTATGTTTCGAGTGATTTTTGTTTTATCCTTCTATTTACTTTTTGAAATCTGGCGTTCACTTTGGCGGGATGGATGTGTCATATCATAACGGAAAATTATGCAACGCCGATCGAGAAATGCCTTCATGTCCTGCAAAAAAAGAATTTCTCATAATATTATAAGAACGATAAAATATTCAGAATAATTGCGACTGTCGTGTCGAGTGCAAGTCGTTTTTCGAGAGTCGAATCGTATGAAAATTGCATAGCATTCCCTAGTTTTTCAACCCGAATAGTGCATTAAAACGGAAAAACTTGGCAGCATTGGATAGTTTTCGACGATTTTCGTCGTTCACTTATTTCAGCACGAGAGTATGCAAAGCTAATGTTGTCGATTCATACAATTTCGTCTAATTCACTACTTGCACAAAGAAGTTGATTATTTGAAGTCTAACCTTTGGTTCGAAACGATATCCAATTTGCTTGAAAAATACATAAATATTATGCAAATCAATAGGCTTATACCTCAAAATCATTTCATGCAAAATTGTGCTAGAGATAACAAGATTATACCAAGCGATATGTAGCGGCAAAAGTGGACGGGGTGTCTGTAATAAAGAAAGTTACATATTAATGTACTTGCTATTTATATTACGGAATATTACATTACAGACTAACGCCCAGATTCATAAAAAATAAAGTCGACTTTAACTGCTTTATAAATAGAGAATTTGTATGAGAATGTCACATTATAAAGCTCTTTAAATCGATTTTATTTTTTATGAATAAGGCCATAAGTTTTCAAATAAAAAATACACAATACAAAAATATTTTAATATGAGAAAAAAGGATGTATAAAAAAGAAAGGCGGTATTTTACTAAAAACTTCATTGCACCTACGTGATGCTACATATTATAGTAAAAGAAAACTAAAAGGGCGTGCCTCGGACTATTACCGTTTCGATTCCAGTAAAGCATTTTAAGGTGCACCTCAACTTTTTTTTAATTGTCACTTAGGCTACTGTGGCGCTTACGACCTCATATTTAAACAGAGTTTTAAATGATTTTATATATTTCTCGCGAAAATCTCTATGCAATGAAATATCTAAAAAGTAATGTATTGTTAACAAATTATTAAATTCTAAGTGATCTAGTGATAGGTTCATTTAAAGCAGTGACTCCAAAAGTGGTCCAGGTGGACCACCAGGGGTCCACGGGAGACTCGAGGGGGGTCTACGTTGGCGCGAAAAAAATATGGGAGTTCACGAGATGTAAGTGGGGGTCCACGAAAATGTATCTGGTTTCGATAGTAAAGAGCCAAAATGGTTGCCTGAAAGTCTCTTGCCGCACGGCTGCACTAAAAAGAAACGGATGTTGGTATAAAAGTGAGTGGGGAGATGCGGAAATTGCTGGCGGCAGAGATTTGAGCACTTGTGTATTTTCAATGCTACAGGATAGTACGTCACCATTACCTTTGTTGAAGAGATTCTATAATGTTGAGTTCCCTGAAGCTGAATGCTGACTTAATTCCAGCAGTGAGTCCGGACTCACACATTGTCGAATCTTCACTGATGGCTCCAAAACTGATTCTGGGGTATTTTTTGTTAATAGAGATAAGATTCACTTTTCCCTTGGGGAATATGCTTCGGTCTTCCAGGCTGGGGTAATTGAAATCCTCAAAGCCAAGGACTACCTGGTGGAAAATAGGTGGAGAGGAAGGAGTTTACGTGTCTGCAGTAACAGCCAAGCTGCACTTAAGACATTGGCCAGCCCTCTATCTAAATACTTCCAAACTAGTAGTTCGGCAGTGCAAGTAACGACTAAATTATGTTGATAAATATAACGACCTTGCTTAACACTGAGTGCGACGTCACTCTGGAGTACCTGTTAATGAGACATCTGACCGTTTGGCCACAGTTGCTGGCCATCGAAACCCCCATCATAAACTGGGTGAAGACTTCGCTCAGCAATGACTATGAGGAATCGAGGGGATGCAGGTGGGCAAAACTCATGTTGCCTTCAACCTCAGAAGTTCTATCAGTGGTTTGCTTTCACTGAGCAGACGGGACTGCAGACAACTTTTTGGACTGCTGACTGGTCACTTCACGTGGCTTGCTTATTTGGTTGTTTGTCATCGATTTTTCATTTATCAGTTTCTGAATTAAAATTAAGGCGTCAAAAGAGGTAACAGGTAATAAGATCAACGGAAATAAGATCATTATCAATTGACATTATTACCTTTTTAAAAGCGAAATAAAATCCATTGACATTATTTCTCTTTCAAACATTAAATTTGCTTAGCTTCGCGGCGGCCCGCGTCAGCGCGACACACCACGCGCGCCGCGCTCGCGCTCGCGCCCCGCGTACTCCGCGCGACCGGCGCATACACCACCATTTCACACCAGGGTGGGAAATAAAGTCAATTGGCCTTATTTCCGTTGATCTTGTTGCCTGTCACCGTCAAAAGATTATCGGTTTTGTTGTTTAAAGGCTTGTGTTTTAAAAATGTGAGTGATAAATATTTTACGCATCACTATAAAACTCGGAGTGATAAAACTAAAAATGATGCCTTCAACACAAATAAACTATTTTACAAATACGCCACATGCAAATTCATGAGTGAGCTGATTATGTAAGAAGTTTATGGTAAAGGGAATGTAAATAACGCTAGCTCTCTGAGTGCTCTTAAAAAATATAACTCCTCTGATCGAGAGAGTACTTTGATGGCTTTATGAGCCCTGTTTTTTAAAACTTGCAAGTGTGTAATTCAGCGGTGGCCAAAGCCTATGCACGCGTGCATAAGCTTTTTCGAGCTCTCTCACCGATAGTAAAAAGCTTTCGTGCACAGCAAGAAATATATTTATTTGCTTTGCTTGCCAGTCGAAGTTTAGCTGCTGAGCCAGCAGGTTGTGTGCTGCTGGAGCTGTTGCTGAACGGTTGTGTGATGTATGCGTGCAGGGGTTGTTTTTTGTTTAGTATAAGCAAAGCAAACTGCGCGACCCGCACTACAATAGCCCAACTTCGCTCTGGCTATTGCAGCAGGCTAAACTTTTACTTAAGCAGAATCAACGAGGATGTGCCCAACCAACCCAGCATGTGGAGAGTCGCCACATGACTCACGGCACCTCTTCACATGCCCTCAGAACCCCACTCAGCTAACGCCCCTGTCGCTATGGACAGCCCCTGTGGAAGTCGCACACTTCCTGGGCCTCCCCCTAACTGAACTTGACGACAACGTTGATGGATGAACCGACCCGAACGGGGCTTAGTAGCCGCTACAACAACAACAACAACAACAACCATTCTTTGCACGCACATATGTATGTATATATGAATGCATGTGCATTTTGTTTTGTACAAGAAAGCTTTTTACTGTCGGTGTGAGGGTCGGTGAAAAAGCTCGAAAAAACTTATGCACGCGTGCATAGGCTTTGGCCATCGCTGTCTTAAATACATATTATCGGAACACTGGGTAGGCTCAGAAGGCGCAGCAGTTGAGCTCAACCGTTGCTAAAAAAATCAGTGGTCGTTATGCGTCTTCTGAACGGCTTGTTACATTAGCTGTCAAATTCAACTCTCAAAGGCTCACACCAACATGTTGTCTCAAATGATCAGAAAAATATTACGATCATCTGACACGCAACTGTTCAGTTGATCAGAAGTACACAACAACGCGTTCAGAAGGTGCAATCGCAACAGTTACTGAGCTGTTGCGCCTTCTGAACGTTCCCAATGCTTTAAACTTCACTAACGTTCTACTTAGCAAAAACAAACCTTTGTGTTACGTTCAGCGTTGCCGAATTGACGATTTCATCGTCATTTTGACATTTTTTTTAGCTCAATGACGTTTTGACGATTTTCCTACCGTATTGACCTTTTTTTTTAGTTTATCCACTTAATTATATATGTATGTTTGTACATATACATATATACACTTGTGATCAGCTAATTAAACCAACAACAGTTAGCCAATTAAATTCTAGGGTAATAATGTGCAAGTCTTAAGTTGCTAAAAAATCGCGTTGATTTTTAATAATTTTTTTTCTGACTGCATTACAGATTTTTTTTCCATACAAAATAAATTCCACAATTTTTTTGTAAAAAAAACATGCGTCATTAAGTCAGAAAAAAAATATTAAAAATCAACGCGAATTTTTAGCAACTTCAGACTTGCACATTATTTAATTGGCTACTAAACTGCATACTCAAAAAAATTCTAAAAAATCTGAATAAAAAGTTGAAAATCTATCTGAAACTTTGCAGATTTTTCATAATGTTTGCACAAAGTTTGAAATCTGGATTTATGTGGTGTTTGTTATATAATGAGCTAGACTTTTATGGAAAAATAATAAACATTAAATAAACAAAAGAAATATAGCCAAAATTTATCAAAATGTTGTTGGATTAATTAGCTGATCACAAGTATATATGTGCATATGTATGTACAAAATTTGTTAAATGGAAACGTAATCTAAAATACAAACACGCATTTGCATATCTGGCTTTGTTATTCAACTTTTAGTTATATTAAATTTGTTCCAGAATTGTATCCAAATTGTTAATTTGCACTGCTGACACTCATATCTATCGTTAATAAATGCTCCTGTTACACTTTAAAACTGGATCAAAAACTTCACATCAGCTAAATCGTAATGCCCTGTATGCAGCTCTCAAGAAAACGTCCAAGAAAAAATCACCATTATTTCGTGTGTATGTCCAAGGAATTTTGACATTTTTGATACTTCACAGCCTGTTGCCTCACTCTTTCCTCAAGAAATAATGGAATGCCCGATATATTTCTGTTGTAAACCTGGGTTGCCTTGTGCTCTTTTTTCACAAAAAACTGTAGAAAACGGTAGTATAAAGCGTAGCAAATTCCTTAAGAACTGCGTACTGCCTTAAGGAAGTTTGACTCAAGAAAATTTCTTAGACATTTCTTGTACGCCATTTTATATGGAGTTTTTGCTTTTCTTGAGAGCTGCATACAGGCCTTAAATCTAAATTGTCAGTTACAATAACGAATCAACTTTAGTAACCCATATGCAATGTGGGTTCCCTTTGGTTTTGTAATTTGTGGTCATAGTCGAATTCTACGTTCGATTATAAGCAAAAATGGCGACCAAACTAAGTATATACCAAAAATGTCGTTTGACCCTGCCACTTTTTAAAAGAAAAATCAGTGTATTATATTTTTTTCTGAACCAAATTAATTTTTCATTTACAAAATTTTGTGGTTTCTTCATGCAATATGGAAAATTGGGAGGATCAAACGTAATTTTTGGTATACAGCATATATGTAATACTTTTATATTGCTAGTACATTCAAAGTACATTCCCCAACATCAGAGTGCCGAAATATTGAAAAAAGAAAGAGAGATCCCATAAGAGAATGTACTCAAAATGATAATTTTACTTTTCAAAATTCAGGAGCGGTTTCACAAATTATTTAAAAACAACTCTTATGAAAAATTAACAAAAAATAAAATTTTTGTAAATCTATGAGAAGCGCTGCGGCCGTTGGTGGTGGCAGAGGATAAAAATACCAGTTAGAGAAGGACTTGGCATCAGTTGGCATTTCCAATTGGCGTCAATCAGCATAGAAGCAAAT